TCGATTTGGGGAATTGGCTGAACAGCAGGCCGTCCAAGCCCATGTGCACATCCCACGGTAACAGCTGCAACCGGCCCTGTGGCGGTGGTGAACTTGGCCCCGAGCCATCGCTGGTGGATAGATGGAAGTGCCCTATCTGCGACGGGGATGCTCGGCCTTACAGCTTGATGATGGATAGTTTCATGGCGGAGGTGCGGAAAAAGCTAGAGGCTGACGGGAAGCTGCATACGAAAACGATATTTGTGTCAGCAGATGGGACGTGGAGGCCAAAAGTGGAAGAGGCCGGAGATGACGAGGACGACGATGCAGAGGGTGTTCCTGGAAGGCCGCCAGCAAAGCGCGCCAGGACTGGGCCGTCGCCCGCCGAGGCACCGGCGATTGAGATCATTGAGCTGGATTGAGGATACGCATAAATTTGAGGCCATTTTGGCGCGGGATTACGAGCGGCATATGGGACACGGCGTTTATGAATCCCATCCTCAGACGAGGCACTCGGGATGGAGTTTGCTTTTTGCTATGGCATCGGGGGTGCCGAAATGATACCACCTACAGCATCTGGGCGTTGTAGGAACACGCAGAGGTGATTGAGCCTCGATGAGGATTGAAAGATTCATGTTACTAGTTTTTTGGCGCCCTGTGCACCGGGATGGTCGTTGCAGAGGGACACAGACGATGTTCCTTCGGGACAGAAGCGGAGGCGACATGGGCAGTTATCACAGCGCCAGTAGGAATAGACCGATCAGCGCCATATCCGAAGCGGACGGTATTTGAATGTCCTCCATTTTGTGAAATTCATCAATCGGAAGCTCGGGACAGCCAGGCAGTTTGGGTTGGGTGCACATCTCATGACCAACGAAACGCCCAAGACTTGGCAGCGGCGTCTATTTAAGGTGCGACCGAGGTCGGCAGCGTCGGCAAGAGCAGGACCGGGACTCCCTTAAGTTAGGTCGGGTCGGGCAGACAGTGCAGCAGTGCTCCAATCCAAGAAACGGTAGTGATTGGGCTAAATCCCCATGACATCAGCCCTGCCAGACCTCACTTGACATGTTTCCTCGGATTGAATACATGCCTACAACTACGCAGTATCTGTAATTGTCAACTCATCGAGCCAATTGTCACAGTGTTGCGTCGTCCGTTCCTCTGCGCTGCGACTGCCCAACTTTGCCGAGGCCTGTACATACAAGGCACGTTTGACATCCAGGGTGCCTGCTCTCGTAACATCCAAACATCCATTAGCTTCACTGCTTCAGACGAGCAGCTTGAAGCTTGCGCCTCACAGCGTCCCATCCTGAGTTCCTGAAGTCTCTGGCCCCGAGGCAGGTCAGCCAAAGCAACCATACAACTGCGACGGGTTTCACGCCCTTCCATCAGCTCCGGCAACGAGGCTTGGTGAGAGAGGCTGAGCCACGCGTCTACGTCGCCTCTCAAGCCCTCACGCAGGGTGTCAAAAATCTTGGCTTTGTTTGCCGTTCCGACGACCCTCATTCCAATTTCAGGGACGTCGTTTTGAATCGAACCCAACTTTTTTTTTTCTCCCTTCCCCTCACCACACAATTAACTCTATGCGCCTTGGCTATCGGACCTCACTTTCGACACACTCCAACGACCGCGAAAAAAATACCTAAAAAAAGGTCCACCCCACTCTGCCCCTCCCTAGGTACTTTACTTGCCGACTCGCAAACAAAAACCTATCGCTCGGGTGCGGTGCGCTCATTCCAGGTGAAAGGACCTGTTTGAGGCCATTTTCACTCACCGTCGTTCGTCATTGATACTATTGACGTTTGGGGGATCACCAGCCACATCATTCTGCGACGGAATAGAAATTAGGCGACCGCAGACCACTCAAAAAGTGGACTGAGCGGACACCATGTCGATCCGCATAGCGCTCGACAACCAGCCCGAGTTCTACACCAATCTCGACAACCTCGCTGGCCGCGTTGTGTTGCATCTCAGCCGCCCCGAGCAGATTGGTGGCATCATTGTCAAGCTCGAGGGCGAGTCCAAGACAGCCCTCGGATTGCCTCAGAATTACGATGACCGCGCTCACCCGCGCCTGCCGCCCGGAGGCGGCCCGGGAAGCATCGCTAGCGAGAACCACAAGATTCTCTACCGGGTTGCCCAAGTCTTTCCAACCTACGAGGAAGATCTCGGCGGCGGAAGCTCCTCTATGAGCGGGAGCTACGTCATCCAGGGCGGCCAGCATGAATTCCCCTTCAAATTCAAGCTCCCCATCAACAATGCCTGCAGCGACCCTGTTACCATGTCCAAAATCGGTGGTATCGGCGGCATGGGGGGCTTCGGCGCGGGCATCGGTCCGTTCGGACTCGGAGGTGCCAGGGTTATGGACGGCAGTAAGCAGCTGTTCCTCCAGCATGTCACGAAGACCCTGCCTCCGTCGTTCACCGGCTTCCCCCGGCAGGCAGAGGTGCGCTACTACCTCAAGGTCACCATCCAACGACCAGGCTTTCTCAAGGAAAACTGGCGGTACCAGATTGGCTTCAAGTTCATGCCCATAGAGCCGCCCCGGCCTCCGAAGACGTCTCAAGAAGCCTACGCACGTCGGCCTTTCACCTTCAAGCCGCGACCCCAGGGTCTACAGAAGAAGAAGAGCTCCCTCTTTGGCTCCGGCAAGGACGACAGTGCACCTAGCAACGGTGACGCTGTTCCCCCGTCCATTGAGCTCTCTGCGCGTTTACCCCATCCCTCGATTCTGACCTGCAACCAACCTCTCCCGCTGCGTCTCATTGCCAAGAAGCTCATACCCTCACACGAACAAGTCTTTCTCACCTCAATACAAATCGAGCTGATCGGCAAGACTCATGTCCGGTGCCACGACCTCTTTAACACGGAAGTAAGCAGATGGGTCGTCGTGACCCAGACAGGCCTCAGCGTGCCCCTCCTGGACAACCCGACCTCGGACGACCTCACCCACGAGTCCATCATCCCAGACGACCTCTGGCGCAACATCCCGCTACCCAACACCGTTGCACCTAGCTTCGTCGCCTGCAATCTCCAGCGACACTATGAACTCGACATCCAGTTGGGTCTCTGCTGGGGCAAACCGCCGTCAACGCGAACGTTCTTGGGCTCGAACAAGGAAAACCCCGCCGCGCAGTCCATTTTCCTCCCGTTGCACTTCTCTAAGGTTCAAGTATACTCTGGCATTGCGCCGCCGCCGCAGTTGCTCGAGGCTCTAGCAGCACAAGCCAATCGGCCGTCCGCGGCAACAATGAGCCTGCCTCCCAGATTACCGCCACGTACTTCACAGTCTGCACCCATCACCCATACCATGGGCCGTGGCCAGCAGCAAAGGCCTCAAGCGTCTCAGCAACCGCACCTACCGGCCGCGGCAGCACCGCAGTATGACCCATTATACCCTCCCCAGATGGGAACACCGGGTGCTGCGGCGTTTGACGACGCACCGCCGAGTTACGACGAGGCACTGGCGGCAGGAGCAACAGGACCGGAGGAGAGACCTGCGTACAGCGGCGTTACGAACGAGAATGCGCCGAGTCAGATCCCCGAGAAGAGTTAGCCCACGCTTGTTGCATTGAGACTTGAGAGATTGGGCGCGGGAAGGTTTAGACAGAGGGTTGGGTTTAATGATTAATGACCGGAGAGCGGTGCGGGATGGACGAGACAAGACAGCGACGCCATCACAGAAAGAGTTCAGAAGGGGGGTTTGTGTTGTTTAAGCCTTACTATACCTTGAGATGAATCCGTGGGCTCGCCTAGTCCATGAATAGATTGAATTTTTCTTCATCTTGAAGAAGCCAGTGTGAAGTTGAACTCCTGGCATAGGGCAGATAAACAGGAGTTGGCATTCCATGATGGAGACAAGACAACTTGGAGGTGTCAGCTCAACAGCTTGCCGAGGCGGGCAACCCCCTGATCGACCATTCAAGCCCGCCAAGAGAGTTCCGTGATGCCAACTGACCAACATGCACCGACACCAGCTCATGTGTGCCATGCAGACTTGATTTCTTCCCGTCTACGTCGGTGAGAACACGCACACGCTCAACGGGCTTCAGGAACACGCAAAAGTCCGCCGCAGGTGGCGTAGCGGACCGCCTCGGGAGGATGGCCCTCCCCCGTCTGAATACGGCAACCCTCGCCCGCGCAGTCCGAGATGTGATTCAGTACAAGAGGAGATGTCAAATCAGAGGCGGGGGGCGAGCTCGCGATGCGATCGCCCGTTGTCCGGTCAAAAGATCTACAAGATCTTCCAGGCACGCATCGCGCCACACCGACGACGACGACAGCGAAAGCAAGCCAGCCATCCCTGCTACCAACTGATGTTGAGATGTGATCACATATGCTCTGTCTTGCACATTCCGCATCCGGATATTGCCCACGGAAGGAAGATTCACAAAGGACATGAAAAAGGTGACTCAATCAAGCTTCCCGTCGGCATAGACGCCGGCCGTCGTGTGTGAATGAGGCACAGCGCGGCCAATCAGGGGCTGACAAACGTACATATTGTTGTTTGAGCGAGAGTGGAGGCTGGAGGTTGGAGGTTGGGCGGGCGTGTTGGTGGTCAGTATGTTGTTGGTTCGAAACCCACTGTGTGCTGTGCTGTGTGCTGGAGTTGGAATCTTGCCTGGACGTATGTTTTTTTTTTTTACCGGGGTTAGATGCAGGCAGGGTTGCGCGTGTGTTAGCCTACCTTGGTTGGTCTGGATTTTACGACCGGACCGGAATGACTGGTAATGTGAATGGTAATGAATGGCGATGTTGGTGTTGTTCTTCGGCTGTGATGAATTTGCGAGGTTCTCGGTCAACATCCACCTGTATTGGTGCATTCTATCCGGGGATGCTCCAATGGTGCAAAGCTCATTTCGCTGGGTTTGGATTTTGGCAATTGCTAATCATTCAGATGGATGACCTACCCACGCTCGATGCTATTGACGCTCTCTTAGTTACACGGATTCAACTGAAAATCGAAGAAATGTCACAAAATAAGCATTCCTTCTCTTACACCCAGTGCCGATTTTGACACCTCACAGCCCCTCCTTGGCCAACATGTCCGCGATATCTAGGTAAAATGCAACAGCGTTAAAGGTCCTCGTCTGCCCCATCAAGACCTTCCTCACCGTCCACCGCACCCGGTTGGACCAATTGATCAGGTCGAGATGGCTAACGTCGACCAGCGTGCCCTTGTAGTCGCCCCACTGGCTGCTCGCAACGCTAACCAGCCCGTCGTTGGCGCCCTCGACCTCTTCCAGGATGCGATGGCTCTGTCGGAACGGACTGAGGAGCGGGGGCGTGCTCGTGCATGCACCGTAGCTAAAGTGCCTCACCTTGTCACTGTCTGGAGTATTGGGGTTGAACTCCCCCTCCATGTACTCCCGCGTCAACTGGCCAAACGCCTTGGTGCCCAGCCCGGCGCGCTCAATCAGGCCGTAGAGGTTGGCGAGCTTGATGGGGCCCTGTCCGTTGATGAGGAAGTCTGCAAACGCGCTCCCGCGGTGCGGCGTGGCGACGGTCACGAGGCTCTTCACGTCCACGTCGGCGGGCTTGAGATGAGAAATCATGTAGCGCGCGTCGAGCCCGCCCATGGAGTGGGCGATGATGTTGACGGAGCGGCCGCGGGCTTTGGCGGCGATGTCGGCGCCCAGCTTCGCGGCGCGTTCCTCAATGGAGCCCGAGGGCGGTACGGCGGCTGTGATGACGGCCGGGTTGCCGGCGAGGGCGCGGAGGGCGTCTGAGATGCCGTGCCAGTAGTGGATTGGTGGGACGTACGAGCCTAGGCGCAGCTCGGCGAAGCCCATCAGTCCGTGTGCGAGGACGATTGGGTTCTTTGGTGTGTCTGGAGAATGTGTTAGTTATGGGTGGGTGGAGAGCCATGTAAGTGCGCGTGTGTGTGTTGGGGGCAGAAATGGGGCAGGAGGAAGACGGAGAAGACACAGAAGAGAGAGAAAAAGGAAAGTGATCGGAGGGGTGTGGTACCATAGTGTTCTCTCACGACGGCAAACTCGTCCGATATCTGTTTGCCCAGGTCTCTCAACCTTGGATCGCTGTCGTCTTTGGTGAGGACGGGGGTGGTGGACAGGTTCCGAGTTCCCCGGCATGCTAGAGGGCGAAGAGACGCGGCTGGCGCACGGGTGGGAACAAGAGCGGGCAGCGCGCGAGGAGGGCGGCGGCGGCGGCAGAGGCCCCTCGCCAGACATGCGCTCATGGCATGGAGGATGACGAGTCGATGGGACGAGTTGTACAGTGCTGAGTGTAGGTTGCGAGTGACTGGTTGTCGGCAAGATGTGATTCAGTCTCGGCTCGCGGGGCAGGGCTTTAAGCGGGCAAGTGGGTGTGAAGACTGGACTAGACGTAAGGTGCCGCGCAAAGTACCAGTGTACGAATACTGTGTGCGTTCCTAGAGAAAAGAATTGCGGGCGGGCTGGGTGCGACGGGCGGCGGAAACGAAGGAAGAAACGCGTGGTGGTAGTGAATGCGACTGGAAGGTCCTGACAGCGTTGATAGGAGGCGTGTTTCTCGCCAAGGAGTTTAAGCGCCCGGGTTTTGACGTCATGCAGACCGCGGCCAGAGAGGCTTAGCGCGATCGCGGGAGTCTTTGGTTCTCTCGGCCGACGACCCACCGACTACAGCGGACGCTAGGGTGCTCAGTGGATGGGCTTCCCGCACTATCCACCTGGAGGCCAGAGCTTCCTCCCTAGACAGGGGAGCTGGCCAAGGATGATTAGCAACTGCATGGCACTTGTTGGTTGGGCCTCATCCTTCAAGGCCACCCAGGGCAGCATCTGGTCAGTGTCCCGGTTCATCTCTTCAAAAGAGTAAAAGGTAATGAGATTGCTGTTGGAGGAGGGATGGATGGACGGATGGATAGGTGCATCATGCAGCCTGCAGTGCGTGCGCACACAGTCTGTAGCACTGCACCTGCCATGACCGGACTTGGAGGGGGAGAGCAAATCTCGGGTCATCCCTCTTGCGTCCCTGGTCTCCTTGTTTCTCCCCCTCCATCTTGTGCTCTCTTCATCTCTTCATCTCTTTGTAATGGGCTGGTAATGTCCGCGCCCCAGGCTACACAAGACCAGCAAGGGCACCTGGGAAAGAGAAGGGAAAGGGAAAAACGAATTCAGGCTTCCCCAACCGCAACACCACCACCATCCCCGCCCGCAAGATGCTCTGCGTTCGCAAATCAAAGTCCACCGTTGGCCAATTTCCCCGCTTCAGAGACACGTCGTGGTCTGCTGCTTGTTTTCCAGCCCCCAACCTACACCTTCCCTACCCAGATTGTGCGGCGTAGCAAAGCTTTCGACAGCAAGCACTGGCTGAGAGCCAACAGCGTTGGGACCTCCCTGGGCTGGCCGGTAGGGCCAGGTGAGAAAGTGACGGTTCCCGTCGCTATTGGACGGGAGTTTCCCTTGGCCCCCCTGGCTCACCCTCACCGGCCGACATGGACCAACATGGGCCTCGCAGAATGACCAGCCAATGTAACCTCCCCGCCAGCGTTGCCCGTTGGATGAACAGCCCGCAACCGCCAGCCGTCCGCTGGTTATTGGCCCGTGACCTGGCTCTGGAGAGGGTCTTGATCTGCAAACATTTCCAACCGTTGCACCGTCGAACCGTTCCGCTGGGACGGCCGCCTGGCCTCCCTCCTCGCCCACCGCATCCGCACACATTGTTTACTTGAATGCGTGCCTGCTTGCTTGCTGCTCTGGCGGCCAAGATGTGTGGTTTCAATTCCTTCACGGCAGTTGAAAACCTTCTCGCTGGCTGTTTCTGCACATTGGCGTCTGACGGTGGCGTCAAAGTGCTCTTCTAAGCAGCCCCTGGTCATCGTTGTGCCAGTCACTGAACGGCTTCAGTTGGGACGGGTTTGACTGAAGAAAGCTGCTGTTGGTACAACGTCTCTTCCGAAGTGGATGTAATCCATATCGGATGCAACCGCGGAAGCTGATGGTGTGCCCCTTTGGATTGACCCTGGCCTGTCCTGCGTGAACCACTTCTGCCCGTCGGACCGCCTCCTTCATCGCGTGTCCGGAGCCATCCACAATCGACCGTATCCTTCAACCGCAGCGGCCACCGCAGATCCAGCCTGCTGGAATGAAATGCTTGACCTCTGTGCCTGCTTGAATGTTGTGTCTGCTTGCTGGAGTTGGTTCGGCCGCCAGTTGTGCAAATCCCGATGGCCAGCCTGCCGTGTATATATCCCAACAGCCCGGCGCGCTTCTCCTTGCCGCCTCCCTCCTCCCTCCTCCAGGCATGCCCGACCAAACAATGGTAAAGGGACCGCCACTGTCGCCTGTCAAGTGAGAACACGGACACAATGACAGGCGACTGCAACGAAAACTGCCCCTTCCGAGGAGGCTTCCTCGACTATGAGCCTTCGGCAGTTGGCAGCGCCATCTTCTTGGCGGCTTTTGCGCTGTTGGTGCCGCTGACCTTCTTCCAAGGCTACCGCTTCAAGACGCCTTTATTCGCTTCGACTTTGGCCACGGGTATTCTGTTGGAAGTGCTGGGATTCGCCGGAAGGCTGAGGCTAAAGAACAATACCGCCAGCGAGACTTCCTTCACGTTATGGCTCCTGGGTTCGATACTCGGCCCGACCTTGATCTCGGCAGCGCTCTGCCAGGTGCTTCCTCACGTTGTCGCTCTATATGGCCTCGGTATTGGTTTTACGCGGCCCAGAGTCGCGGGGTTGTCGCTTGTCTTTGCCCTGCTTCTCGTCGTTGCTTTGGAAATTGCCGGTGTCGTCGCTGCCGTCTTTGGCCTTGGTGGTGTTCAGGTATGAGTGCATCGTGTGAAGCTCAAGTTCCGATCCATGTTAATCAGGTGTGACAGTCGACGACCATCCTCCTCGCAGGCCTGGGCGTTCAGATCGCGGCGCTCTTGCTGTTTATCGGCTTGTACCTCTGGTTCACCCAAAAGATCCCCGACCCAAAGCACATTGCCGTGTACCAACAACCGAGGTTCAGGCACTTCGTGAAGAGTGAGCCAACCAGATTCTCGTGAAACCAAGCATCAAGCTGATCGATTCCTAGTCATGCCGCCACTCGCTGTGGTCTTGATCGCACATACCATCTACCGTCTCGTCGAGTATGGAGAGGGCCTCGGCGGCCCTCTCACAAGGACAGAGGTCGCATCTCTCATTATCAGCGGTGCATTGCCGTTTCTTGTGTGCATTGCTCTATGCATATACCACCCCGGGGCGGCGTTTGGCCGCGCTTGGGGTCTCACATCTCCGAGACTTCGCCGCCAGTCCCTTCGATCTCGTCGTCGACAAGGGGGGCCATCGCCTCTTCATTCCCCGACCGCCCCCTGGGACAGACACAAGGGCCCCCGTCAACCTGGCTTCACTGCTTCAAGATTTCCGGAGAAGAAGATGTCCCCGATTGGCGTCGGACCAGTTCCCTTGCGAGACTCCACGATGGCGAGCAAGGTTGCTGGTAGTCCTGGTGAAAGATCGGCAACATATACAAAGATTGCTAGCAGTCCTGGCGAGAGGTCGGTGACGTATCCGAGCCCAATCGCTGAACACTATAAGCTGGAGACACCTCACCATAGCCCACCTTTGCAAAGGTCTCAGCAGACGAATCAACCGTCACCAAAACACAGCCCGCCATTCCAGAGGGCTCAACAGGCGGGGCAGCCGTCGCCGAAGCGAAACAGCAATCGTTCGAGTCAGAATCCGATGGTGAATAGCGAGTCTCTGTGGTGAGAAGACGGTATCCGGGGCGGCTTTTTGTTCTTTTGGAAGCGGGAGTTGACTTGTCTAAATGGGATATCCTCTCGTTGCGGTAGCGTGGCGTTTATTGACATTGGTGGATATTTGTTGCTTTATATACCGGAAAACTCCATTCCTGTGCTTGGATCGGGTGGCCAGAGTTGATCTCAGTTTCGGTAGTTACAATCCTTTGAACTGCTTGACGAAAAGGTGGCGCTGATGATAATGTGACGCCGTCGTGTGCTGTGACCCCATCGAATCTTTCTCACAGATTCCGGTAACCTAACCACTTCCTCCCCAAGGCATACAGCAGGCCGAAGAGCGCGCCCCCAATGTGACCGGCATGCCCCACGCCGGTCTCGGTTTGGATGCCAAGGCAGAAGATGTCCACGGCGAACATTGCCAGTGATACTTCGCGCAGAGATAGCACGATGTTCGTCCCAGAGAGACGGACTCTCATAGCCGGATACATGGCGGCCAGGGCGATTCCGAGGCCCGTCAGTACCCCACTGGCTCCGACAGCGGTGCTTTCTTCAGCGGTTTTCCTTGGGCGCTGGCGCTGCGAATTCCACACAAAAGCCGCGCTGGCAGCGATGCCGCTTCCTAGAGCGAGTAAAGCAAACCGTAGCGGCGATGTTCCTCTCGCATAAAGGTGTTTGACGTACGTGCTGTACGTAGACATGTTGACAAACAGATGAAGGGGCTGGATGTGGCTGAAGGCCGAGGTGATTAGAGTGATCGGCTGAAGGTTGCTGGGCCTGAGCATGAAGTTCTTGTTAAGGAAGTCCCTCAGGCGCTGCCGACTGAACGGCAAGGGTATCGAGGCGAGTGCAGGGTGAAGCGCAAGCAACCAGGCGATGTGGATGGCGATGTTGGTCAGAGGAACGCCGTAGGAGATCACCGTCCAGGCAGGCCCCAAGACATGTGCTTGTGCCAAATAGTGACTTTTTGAGAACGCCGCCATTGCGAATATTGAAGGTTCAGTCGTTTGAATCGCGTTGGTGTGTGACGAAGGAAAGCCGCTGGTCGGGTGGTGGCAAAAAGATGTTGAAGTTACTTTTGAGCATGCACTTCGGTACTGATTACCACTGCCTTGATACCTACAAGAAGATAATACTGATTGCACAGACAGACAGCAGGCCTAGCTCGCGTTTGTAGGGCGCTTCTATTGCTAGATTTGAGAATACTGAAGCGGGTGGAACTCAGGATCACCAGATGAAGGCGTGGCTATTCTAATTTAGGTAGCGTGCATTGCGGAGCTATGCAATTAGCAGCAATAAATAATGGAAGGCAACGATGATGTTGTGGTCCGTGCGCAATCAGCGTATTTCCTAAGCAGCTCCTCCCAACGTTGCATCGCGATTTCATCGTCAGTTCCTCCTGCTCGGTGCACACTCCCTTCCGGCGGCTTTCTCCTTTGAACTTCATTTGAAGAGCCATATTACATGTTAAAAGTATGCCCAATGTGATAAAGCGCTCATATTGGTTTCGCAGAATCAGAATGTTTTCTCCTAAGAATCCATGACCTATTATCGTACCTTAGTTAGCATGGGGTCATCGGCTCGGTTGATTGTGCGTACCCATCCGTTAGGCAACTTGTCCAGCCTTTGACCCGATCTGATAGTTCCGAACTTTGCAACGAGGACACTCAAGGTCCAGAATTCGCATGCGTGGCCCGTGGAACGTCTGGACCAGTTCTATGACTGGTTGACTTCTCTTGTACTTGTGCACCAATGTGCCGATCAGACGGATGTTTTTCTCCCAGAGTAGCTTCAGTGCAGGTGCTCCAGGTTCTATATCCCACTCGTGCGAGGACAGGTCTGAATTTGAGTTGGGGAGCAAAAGCTCATCATGATCATGATCAGCACGACGCTCAAGCCGAGAGCACAGCTTCGCCGTATAAATCGACAGCAACATGACCTTGAGATTGGGAAACATGGACGTCCAGCAATTGATCGTGGCCTCCGAATACTTGCGTAGGTCGTAGAAGCCATCGAACATGATCATGGTCTCGAAAGATTGCAGGCATCTCGAAATATGGCGTCCTGAGTCGCGCAGCATCGATTCCACAGACTCCCGAGGAATAGCGTCAAAGACAGGTTTAATTGTGTCGATCCTAGGAAAGACCAGACCGTCGGTGAAGGGCCCCGATAAGAACTCGTGGAATAGGAAAGGCGAGAATCTGTTGCGAACCATTGTTCGTGTCATGTGATTGATCTGGCAGACAGATTGGACTCTCAGGAAGCGGTCCTTCAGAATGTCGCTGCCCGGATTTGAGCTGCAGAGATAGAACTCTGGGGAATGATCCGAGCTCGTCGGTTCCAATACGTTCAATAACCACGACTGTACAGCAGTGATAGTGGACTCAGCTTCGTCAAGGAAGGCGTTCATAATGAGGACGAAGACCTCGGGAGGAAGGACCCGCCGTCGTAAGGTCACGCCCTTTTCAGTTGTGAGCCGGTCACTCATCTTAGTAGAGGCAATGCTGGCTTGTCTGGCTGGTGTTGAAGGTAAGTTAAAAACCAGCATCTTCCTTTTGCAGGCAGTGGGGAAATGGAGTTGTGCGAGGGTGACAGCCGACTGCCCAAATCTTGGGAAAGGCCTCTGGGAGGGAAGGCGCGAGCCAAGAATTGAATAGAAAGGAAGGTACCTAACTCAGCTCTTTCCTTTCTTCGTCTCATGTGAATGCTCTCAGATTCCCAGTATGGAAACAGCGATGCTCATGTTCAAATTAGTACAATACGTGGCTCAACGCTCTTGCCTCGTTCTCCTAGCCTCAGTCTCTCCTTCCTCCATTCTTATGTCGGCCTGTCCTGACACGACGTTGGCCGAATCTTCTGTTCGTCCAGAAACGGCCTCGTCCCCCTTTTCCAAATCAACCATTTCAACGTTTTCCTGTTGACCACTGACGGCAGGCGTCCCGGAATCTACACCTTCCTTCGGAGGGTGTCCTGTGATCCTTGACCAGCGATTTAGAACACTTCTTCTCTTCGATTCATCCGTAGATATCCCTGTGACACTCTTCCCGCTGGGCTTGGTCGAGTCAAGTTGACTGCGCAAGCCCAGCTTGAATGATGCATGCCGCAACAAAGGCTGCAGCGCTGGAAAGCATCCTACCCAGAGACCAACATGGAGCTCAGCGTCTGTCCATGCAGCGACAGACAGCATTTTGTAAGTTCTGGAAGAAGTCAGATATCATGTTAATTATGAATATCAATACAGTCTGATCGCAGTGACGGTACGTACGTGTTCACAGTGAAGTCTGTCGTCGTGATTATGGCAAACCTGACAATGCCGGTGGCAACACCGAAGATGCCTAGCGAGAAGATAAGAAGGATCTGAATCGACTTGACTCCCATCTTGAAGTAACTTGTCACCACCCAAAGTGGAAGGGCAACCAGCATGCAGTCGACAAAAATGCAGATAATTGCATGGGCCATCATCAGATCCCGCTCTTCTCGCTTGTCCTTGCATTCTCGCCATGTACTTGCGTAATTGAATACCTCGCTACAGTCTCGTGTTTAGCCGAGATCGGAATGCTTTGGAAGGGGGGTTCTCACGGTATTTGCTGGCATTCTGTCAGAATGAAGAAGAACCCCGTCAAGCTGATGATGATGACGATGAGCCTAAGTCCCCATATGCTCCAGGTATAAATCTCTGTCACGGTGATCAGCGCAGAATTGACCAAGTAATGGTAGAGCAAGCGTACTGGCTTTGCACAGTCGTGGCAAAAATGCTAGAATTGACAGCCGAACAACTCCCGATGCAATGAGGTACACTAGCTCCATGATTGTGAGTCTCTGTCACGCTCCGTCAGCTTTCTGTCAACCCAACTGCAACAATCACCAGCCCACCTTCTGAAACTGTAGCAATGTATCTTTGGGTACATCTTCGATCTGAGCGCCGGTCCCGTAATGGGTGGTATCCATCTCCAGGGCGGAAAGAGTCACGCAGAGCGCCTACATGGAGGATTAGTCGGTGATATCTGGTACGAGTTTGTGAACATACCCATGCTAGAACCGCGAGGAAGTCATCCCATCCCAAAGCCTTGACGATAGCCTTTCGAACATACAACCGCAACGATATGAAAACCGTTGAGAAAATGATCAAGGCCAAATTCAGGTTGTAGATATGGTGCCCTTTCGAGTTAGGGTGCCATAACATGGAGTCACTGGGAATGACCATGTCGTTTTGGCCTCCTTCGACCCATTTGTGAACCATCTTGTCGACAGCTTCGAAGTGATCTAAACCACTCAGCACTTCCCAATATCAAGACTCTGTGCCGGTTATCCGGGGGGTGCCTGTTTTTGAGAGATTTAGCAGAGACCAACGTTCAGCCAGCTTACATCACGTGGAGCATGGAAACGGCAAGAGATCATTGTGGTTTCTTGAAGAGCAGAGACACGCCAAGCCACTTTGAATGCGACGGATGGTAAGGCACAAAGTGACGGGTATTTTCCTCTTCAGCTAGGAAAGATGAGATCCAGAACGTGGAAAACCTTGGTGGCCAGCCGGACACCTCGCCGACAACCGCCGAACGCCACTTACACCGCCGACCCCGAACACAGGTGCCTACTGGCATGGTATGCCAAATGCAGAAATACATGCCTCGATGTAAGTTGCCACGTGAAGTCTCCGTAAGCATATGTAGCTGTCGTTGAGGGCAATGCATCGAACACTTGGGGCTTCTATGACTTCTACGGTACCGCCACTGCGTCACGTCCCACAATAAGAACCAAGTCCTCGATCTCAACGTTTCTATGTCGTATTATTATTATCGCCAGTCCGTTGGCGACACCAGCTGCTCTCGGCATGTCTCATTCCAGGAGCTCTGCTTACCCGAGCGCCATGAGCATTTTTGGCCACTGGCCTGCTAATTTACAGTAACGGACGTCTTGGCAACCGATAGAACCTCGTGCTTACGGTTAAATCTTGGCCTGGACTCTAAGTTGAAAAGGACGCTTTCGTCTAGGTGTAAATTTCGGTGTCGAGACGCAGACGCCTTGACGCTTTTCAAGCACAGCCCCAAAGCTGCAACGGATGTCACCGAGGAATGCATGTCACTGCATCTGTACGAACGATGGCACGATGGACGGTATGATGATCAAAGCTTTTAAGCATCCGTATTGATGCAGGTACACACGTCGAGTGCGACAAATGCTTCCTCAGATGGCGCTGGAGGGGCGGCATAACTACATCGTTTCCCTCAGTTTCGTCTCTTAATCTATTCTGACGGGAAGTTCTTGATCTGACAGCTGCCATTTGCCGAGACCTTATTTTGACATCCAACGGTCTTTGCACCATAAGAAAAAAACACCCGGTCTGGACTCATCGAACCATACGGCAGACAAAAGCACTAGCTACGTACGGCCAAACATCTTGGATACTTCAGCCACCTCCCAAAAGTCACCGGTATCCCACATACTTTTCCATTCTCTCATCACAGAGAAAGCTTCATTCGGCGGTCTTGGCATTCCATATCCCTTGACGGATGCGGATGTAGTTGATCCATATCGGTACTTTCCCTTCCGATTCCAAATCCTTGCGTCACTCTATCTGCCACCGACAACTGTAAGACCTTCTCGAATGCTGAATAGAAGCCTTTTCCCATTCCATTGAAGCCTTGGCTCCGTAACCGTTTTTTTTTGCGCCCAAATGAAAACCCCGCGTGAGCTGAGGGAGGCCGGGGAGGAAAGAAGGACGTGATAGCTCTTTCTTTGTTCACGTGGAGCTGACTTCAGACCAGGGCTCCTACCTCAACGTTTCTGCCTCTTACAGTAACGCCCTTTGTCGTCGTGAATTTCGACCAAAAGCTCTGGACTTTGCAACGACAGATTCCATCATTGAGAAGCTAGTTGTCAGGACTCCCTTGGGTCTGAAATCGGACGTTCCTGCCAGAAGTTTCCTCGAAAGGGAGAACACTCCCTCTCAACGCCACAAACTCTAAGGCAGTGCACACTCACCTCAACACCACCACGGCCGTTTTCATCCAAGATCGGAAGCGAAAAGCATTCCTCCGGAGCCAAACAGGCGCCCTTCAGCAAACAAATCATACCCAGCCGTCAATGAATCCTTGCTTGAAAGCAGACATCGCCCCGGTTACACAAACCGTCAATACCCTCCTCCTTCGCACCTACGCCCTTCTGCAGACGCCCCTGACGGGCGCGACCCTGCGCCTGGCGCTTGAAGCCGCTGACAAAGCCCTTGCGATTGCGACAAATTTTGGACGCTTCGACCTTGAACCCCGCGCCCAGCTTTACCGTGGACATGTATTGCGAGCATGGGGTCGTTGGCGCGCTGCCTGGCAGGCGTACATCCGCGCGGCAAGCGTAAGGGGCATCGGCTTCTCGGGGACGGACATCAAAGGTCTCACGCGAGAGTGTCTTGAGATGATGAGGATTGAAGACGAGTGTGATCCCGAGAGGAAGAAGAGCATGATGGAGAGGAAAGGCGCGAGGATGGTGCGCTTCGAGTTGGACGAGAGGACTCCTGGCAGAATCGACGAAGTTGATGGAACCCAGTCCGACGAGAGTACTGATGGGATGTACCTGCTCCTGAATGGAAGCGGCGAGGTCATTGGAAGCCGTGAGAGTTTGCCTGATCTGAGATCTGTACGGGGCAGAGGTTCTGTCCATCGGTCGCCGACACCAACATGACGCTATATTCAGACCATGAGATGGTGGGGTATTTCGCTATGGGAGATGAGAGGCTATGATCATGCCTTCTATTTAGGTGGGAAATATCAAGCATTCAGAGTCATGGACGGTCACTTGTCTCTATTTTCACGTCGCCAGCCTTTGTTGACGCTATCCCAGGTCTTGCCAGGCCAATACTCGGTAATGCTTCTTTGTATCTGCAGCAAGGGCATTGAACTCTTTGAAGGTCGGGTCTCCCTTCGAAAAAGTTTTCCACCGAAAGCGTCTGTATGACCAGTATCACCGCAAGATAATGTGGGAAGCTTGAATTAAGATGAGTGAGAGTCTGAGAGCCACCGAAGTTGATAATGATCATAAACGCCCGAGACTGGGAGGAATACTCGGAGACTTATTTTCCCCAAGACAAGTTCTCTTTCTCGTTAAGGTCTCTCCGTCACTGCCTTCTCCATTCATCATTCATACTTTCAGTATTGTGTAGAAAACCCGATATGGGCGATTCCAAGAGGCGGAGAAGCTCAGAGGACAACCGCGGGCGCAACGTTCGGCCAGCATCAGACAATACGGAGGCCTTCCCTAACGACAATCGTTTGACCATACGAACCAACGCCTCTGCCAACGACACCAATGATGTCGCTGTCAACGCAACTTCCGATGGAAGAACGTCCCGCCGAGCTGCGCGGTCCGAAATGGTCCAGGAAAGTAGCGCAGCTGCTGGTTCGTCAAGAGCTCCGATTTCTCGGAAAGAGGTGCCAGCATCTGAGACGGTCAGCCCCGACGACACCGGCGCCGGCAGATTCCACTGGCCACGTCCATCGTCTAGACCAAGACGTTTTACCCACAGACGGGCAATGTCCGATGCGAATCCGTCAGGTCCATCAAACACAGCTCCTAGTGAATCTCAGGAGGCAGCTCAGGGGCAGCCGAGGGAGAGTCGACGAAGCATATCCGGCGCAGAGTCGGGAGAGCCTCGTAGGAGCATTTCCGAAGCAGTCACGAGCAGTCATGTCGACGATAAAATACCTCCTCCTCAATTCCGAAAAACCAGTAGTCAGACTATAATCCGCAAAGAAGTTGGATCATCCGGCCGGGACAGCAGCAGGGGGCACCCACCCGTTGGACCGCCGCCTGCGTCTTCGGTTCCCTCCAGACGGGGGAGCAGTGGGCAACACCCGCAAAATAAGCCGTTGCCTCCTCGTCCGGATGAGTCGCCAGCCCGATCGCCCGGTCCTTCATCACGAGAGAGCAGCGGCCACCACCCACAGAACAAACCATTGCCTGCTCGTCCTATGGAATCAAATCAGACACCGATTAAGGATGCTTCTCTAAGAAATGATTCGCCCTCCATTTTCAACTCCACCCCTCCTGAAAATCCTCCAGGACCTGCCATCGCCCCCAGGTCTGCCAGCTATGGCTCTTCCACCAGGAATCTGGACCGTCAGTCGTCAACTGCTACCCCACCTCTGATTGACATTTCTGCTAGCCCCGGCCCTTTACCGAGAAATTCCGGCCAAGGATCTGACCAGAAGCGGAAGTTGGACTTTAATATGAGTCCTCTGAAGCCTTCATCGGAAAAGCCTTCGAATAAACCTGTACTCCGTCTGTGGAAGCAAAATGTCGAGGGCCAGCAGTCTTCTGCCATCGCATCCCAGTCATCTGAGGCAACCCCTATGCCTGCGTCCAGAACTACGTCTGTGGACCCAAAAACATCCATTCCATGGCGTGGACCAACTCTTGAGCAGAAGAAGTCGGCCGACTCATTGATAGATGTCAATGGACCGTTCGAAACCTCGGGCGACAGCGAGAAGACACCCACAGCCCAGCAACCGCAGAGGCCGGTCTTCCCAGATCCGAATTCGCCGACACTGAAAGCATTCAAAACGGAGCCCCCCCGCGATGGACCCGGCTTCCATGGCCGGCCTACTCCTGAGCCAAATCCCGACGCTTCAAACCGCCCTCATATTTGGATACGCCCGCAACGTCTGCCTGATGACGAGTCCCAGAAGACCATAGAGACCTACAAGAAATTGTTCAGTCTCGACCAAGAAACCCGCGTGACCCTTCTTTCTCGTGCGCATCGCTATCCCGATTACGGCCGCGACGAAGAAGCTGCCCGGCGCAAGGCCGAATTCGAACGGCAGACGGGCGAGACCATGTCCGACGCAGACTACTACTCCCTCTTTGACCAGACGACAGCTACGGATGGCATGATTTCCTCGCTCATGGAGTTCATGGAGGGGCGGGAGTACGTGAAAGCACCCTACGTCAACCGCATCATCCACCAGCTCTTGAAGATGATGTACCAATCTGCCCGGGAGGAGAGTCGGCTCAGAGACAGGAGAAAGCGGGAGTGTGACTTGTTGAAACGCAGGCTTGAGGACTGTGAGAAGAGGTGTGGTGGCAAGACCAAGCCTGTCAGCCTCGACACGAGCGGCGACAGGGAGAAGACGCTGAGACTTATCAAGGAGATGTGGGACCGCATGGACGGCGTCATGGACAAAGAAGAAGAATGCATCCGAGATCACAATCATAAGTGGAGGAACCGCGAGGAAACGCTGCGGCGAAACG